ACCCCAATACAATATAACTAAAATAAAAGCTGTGACCTGAGGGTAACAAATAATTTCAACCCAATAGGCTGCACACAGAGGCTCACATCTGTAATCCCAGCACTTTGGGAGGCCGAGGGGGGCGGATCACCCGAGCTAAGGAGTTCGAGATCAGACTAGCCAACGTGATGAAACCCAGTCTCTACTAAAAGACAAGAAAATTAGCTGGGTGTAGTGGCGGGTGCCTGCAGGTACTTGGAGGCTGAGGCACTAGAATTGCTTGAACCCAGAAGGCAGAGGTTGCAGTGGGCAGAGATTGTGCACTGCATTCCAGCCTGGGTGACAGAGAAAGATTCTCCAAATATATAAATAAATACATAAAATGAACCAGGTAGAGGTGGGATGTGGGACTCTTGTTCACGCTAGATCTAGTCACAGTGGGCGTGGCTCAGGCGTGGCGCAGCCCATCACCTGGGAGTTTATTCAGCTCACAGCCCTGGCTATTCAGGCTAGACATGCTGTAGCATCCGTGAGTAGTTACTAATGCTGCATCCCACAGGCAGGGATGAAGGGTTGCTAGTGCTCAGTGAACTTGAACAAATAAGGCACATTGCAAACGTTTCCAGCTTAGGTCATGCGGGACAGGCTCTGGAGTTGCGCAGCCCTGGGTTTGAATCCCAGCGCTGCTTCTTATAAGCTTTGTGACTTCAGGTACGCAGCAAGGGCCTTCTGGCTCTAGGTTTCCTTTGTGAAAAAGCTGTAATGATTCCTATCTTGGGGAGCTTGTGGGGAGGACTCCCAGGAAGTGAATATTAATGAGTGGCGTTAGCAAGGCACAGAGTACTTAATGAGGTGTCATGAACTACATCTGTTCTTTGTCTTATATCATTACTAAACCCCAGCAAAACATATGCAATGCTACAAGGAATAATAGCTAAAATCTGTTGAGAGCAGGAGCGCCTTCCACAAATGCCTAAGGGGCCAAGTGGGCAACAGAAATAGGTTTAATGGGCCCAGAGGTGCCCAGGAGAACTGAAGAGAAAGGCATATGCCACCTGTGTGAGCCAGCTCATCTCCAGCTGCGGCCAACTGGCCAGGTCGCAGGACACAGGCCCCACTCAATAGGACCTTATTTTTCCAGGGGAGATGCAAATCTGGGATTTTCTGTGATCTACCGATTTCTAAATGAGGAAACTCATTCCAAATGTTCTCCATCAGGACATGGCCAGCAAGTGTCTACTTAACTGCCAGTTGGATCTCCTCCAGACATCAATCTGTAATTCCAGGGACAGAGCTTCAGGTTTACAAAGCACTTTCACAGCCATCATTTCATTTAATCCTCACAGGAGTCCCTTGAGGTGGGCACTGTGATGACGCCTTAGAAAGGTGACAACTGGGCCGGGCGTGGTGGCTCAATCCTGTAATCCCAGCACTTTGGGAGGCTAAGGTGGGCAGATCACCCGAGGTCAGGAGTTCAAGATCAGCCTGGCCAACATGGCAAAACCCCAACTCTACTAAAAACACAAAAATTAGCTGGGTGTGGTGGCATGCACCTGTAATCCCAGCTACCCAGGAGGCTGAGGCAGGAGACTCACTGGAACCTGGGAGGCTGCAGTGAGCCAACATGGTGCCACTGTACTACAGCCTGGGCAACAGAGTAAGACCTTGTCTCATTTTTTAAAAAAAAGGTGACAACTGAAGCTCTGAGGAGTTACAAAACTTTCCCAAAGTCCCAGAGCTATGAAGTCTTCAGGTCGGGACTGAACTTTTAAAAGCTTCTGACTCTGAGAAGGCTTTTCAAAAATCCTCCAGTGATTTTTAACCTGCAGATGGTGAGTCCATCCTGATTAATCAGTGAACAATGACTCTTACCAACTGCTTAATTCAAAACCCTGAGTTTTTTCTTTTGTCTTCTTACTTGATAAATAACTAGTTTACCCAAAGAGAGAAAACTTACAAAGTACTAATATAGAGATCTGAAAACAGTGACATCAAGTGTCAAGTGAAGGAGCTCTAGAAGACGCTTCTGCAAGCTGCCCCCATTTGGGTGCCACCTACCCTGCCTGCAGAACAAGAGGCCCCCATCCTGAAGCGGTATCCTCAGTCCCCGGGCCTAGCCTCCTGACCTCACTCCCTCTCTCCAAGAACTTGGAATCTGAACAGACAGAGTCAGGAGCTGAGTCACTTTCTGTTTTCTCAGCTTCACCGAGGTGTAATTCACATGCCAAACGGCACAGCTGTTAACATGTACAACGCAGTGACTGTTAGGATATTCAGAGTTGTGTGAGCAGCACTACAGTCAATTTTACAACATATCATCAGCCAAAAAGGAACCTGCATCCAGTGGAGCTCAGGCCACTTTTATGGCTCAAGTTGAGGAGGATGTTTCTTAAAGTATGGTCCTAGGACCACTTATCCCTGCGTCACTGAGGGGGCTTTCAAAAATGCGTTGGCCAGACATGGTTGATCCCACCTGTAATCCTCCTAGGTACTGGGGAGGCTGAGGGAGGAGGATTGCCTGAGGCCAGGCGTTCAAGACCAGCCTGGGCAATGTGAGAGAGACTGCATCTCTATAAAACATTAAAAAAAAATTAGCCAGGCATGGTGGCATATGCCTGCAGGCCCAGCTACTTGGGAGGCTGAGGCAGGAGGATCACTTCAGCCTAGGCGCTCAGCCTAAGCATTCAGCAAGACCCTGTCTCAAAATAAAACAAACTAATTATTTTTAAAATGCTGATTTGTGAGCCTATGTCAACCTACTTGAGTGAGACTCTGGCGGGGGGTGGGCCAGGAATCTGCATTTTAACAAGTGTCTGGGATTCCCATGCACATTCAGCTCTACCAGTTGTTCTTAATTTGTTCTTTGCCACGGACCCTGTAGCAGCCAGCTGAAGCCTATGCACACTTTGTCGAATACTATTTTTTTTTTTAGATGGAGTCTTGCTCTGTTGCCCAGGCCGGAGTGCAGTGGCACAATCTTGGCTCACTTGCAACCTCTACTTCCCAGGTTCAAACGATTCTCCTGCCTCGGTCTCCCCAGTAGCTGAGCTTACAGGCACCTGCCATCATGCCTGGCTCACTTACGTATTTTCAGTAGAGATGAGGTTATACCACAAACTTCTGACCTCAGGTGATCTGCCCACCTTGGCCTCCCAAAGTGCTTGGATACAGGCATAAGCCACTGCGCCCGGGCCCTTGGAATATTATTTTTAATGCAGCAAATAAAACAAATAAGACTACAGAGAAAACCAATTACACTAAAATACAGCTGGCAAAATATTTTTTCAATGCACTTGTGATGCTGTAATCTATTGCTTCTTTGTGAATGCATTAACAGCTCTAACAGTGGGCTTAATAACTGCTGTGCTTTTAAAGGAAGAAGAACATAAACAAGCTTCTGAAATACCTTTCACACCTGAAATGTGATGTGAACATATTTGTTGATTTCTTTTGGTGACAAAGTCCCAGCTACTGCTACTGCTACTGTGGCTTATTGCCTATAATTCCTCGAGTGAAAGATAAATTTCACTCAGAGGTTTGTTAAAATAAAGCTGTCTTTTTTTTCCCCTCATCCAAATTCATGGTCACTCTGTCAGACCACTAGGGAGTAGGCAGACTCCAAGTTATAAGGACCCTTGCTAGGGAGGGTCCAGAAATTCCTCCTGCTGGGTGCCCAGAGTGGCCTCATTCTTTCCAACCCAAGCCTAGATGTACATCTCTTCCATTCCACAAAAAATCCAGTATCCTTCCAACAGTGGCCCTCTTAACCTCTGCTATGTTTAGTTTCTGTTATTTGCCATCAAAAAAAAACTTTGCTGCCACTTTCTTAGTGCTTTCTAGAAAGTCTACCATGGGCAGAGGCACTGTTCTGACCATGTGAGTATTCACTAACTTAATACTCATGGCAACCCAGAGAAGTGATAGTTCTTATCCCAATTTTATAGACAAGGAAACTGCAGCCCAGGGATGTTATATTATTGCCCAAGAACACAGAGCTGGAAGAAGGATGGGTCATGATTCCATGCCGGGCAGTGCAATGGACTAAATGTTTGCATCCCCCTGTAAATTCATACATGGAGACCCTAATCCCAATGTGATGGTATTTAGAGGTGGGGCCCCAGGCAGGTAATGAGGTCCCAGAGGACCAATTGCTCAAAAGGCCAGAGAGCCTGCCCTTATTTTTTTGTGTCACATAAGGACATAACAGGAAGATGGGCCTGTAGTCCCAGCTGCTCAGGAGGCTGAGGCAGGAGAATCACTTGAGCCTAGGAGTTCAAGGCCGCAGTGAGCTATAACTGCACCACTGCACTCCATCCAGTCTGGGTAACAGAGCAAGACTCTGTCTCTTAAACAAAAAGGCTGGGCACGGTGACTCACCTGGAATCCTAGCACTTTGGGAGGCCAAGGCAGGTGGATCAGGAGTTCAACACCAGCCTGGACAACATAATCAAACTCCATCTCTACTAAAAATACAAAAATTAGCCAGGCATGGTGGCAGGTGCCTGTAATCCCAGCTACTTGGGAGGCTGAGGCAGGAGAATTGCTTGAACCTGGGAGGTGGAGGCTGCAGTGAGCCGAGACCATGCCATTGCACTCCAGTCTGGGCAACAATAGTGAAACTCCATCTCAAAATACATAAATAAATAAAAAAGAGATAGAGAGAGACAGAGAGAGAAGACAGTTGTCTGCAACCTGCAAGTGGGTCCTCATTAGAACCTAACCAGGCTGGCACCCTGATCTCAGACTTCCAGCTTCCAGACACTGAGAAATAAATGTTGTTTAAACTCCCAGTCTTGGCACTTTGTAATAGCAGCCTGAGGTAACACAGCCCCTCTATTATTACAGTATGATCCCCACACAGCAAGAAAAGAAAATTCATTAAGCAGTTCAAATACTAACTAGAAAACCAACACAAAAATATCAGATACAATGTTCCTGCAGTTTCAGGCGTAAGAATACATATAATATTATAAAACAGGTCAAAGGAAGACATGTCTTAGGGTTCTGCTGAGGAAACCTACCGGAACTATTAATAAAGTAGAAAAGAAATTGCAGAGGAATTCCAGCAGGAACGATTCCGATGGCCGCATCTTCCCCTCGATATTAATCATCTTTGGAACTTCCGGAATGAGGCTTATAGCAGCTTTGAAAAAAGCATCAGCTACAAGACAGAAGAAAAGTCAGTGTATTAGAACTCTGGAAAATTTAATTGGCTTTTTTCTTCATGTGGCCTGAAGGCCAGTCCCGAGAGTTAGGTGGAAGTCAGGTCATGCCAAGGGCAGGTCCTAGCAGAGGGTTTCTGAAAATCATGATGGAGCTGGAGGAGCAATTCGCTCGACAGGGCACTGCTTCAGCTCAGAGAACCTCTGTTAGACTGCCTTTAGATTATTAAGTGAAAAAACCAGGTCACAAATTTTTGTAGGAAGTCTAGAAATGACAGTTGCCTGGGCTAAAGGCTCAACTTGGATTGGTTCACTGAATTCTCATGTCTACCATTCGAGGAAGGTGCTGTCAACAGGTGTACTTCACAGAAGAGAAGTAAGGGAAGGAAAGAGAAGCAATTCATCCTGCAACAGTGTCTTGTGTATATAGGAAGTTCCAATGGTGGTGGTGGAGCTGCTCAAACCCTGGTCCGTTTGAATCTATTCTGGTGCACACCATATTTGTTAAGTTACCATCAACATATCTAAAAGTGTGCGCACACACACACAAAGATTTCTGATTAACAGCTCCACAGAACTGTCACACACACACACACACACACACACACACACACACAGAGCTTAAAGGTTTCTGATTAACAGCTCCACAGAACTGTCACACACACACACACACACACACACACACAGCTTAAAGGTTTCTGATTAACAGCTCCACAGAACTGTCACACACACACACAGCTTAAAGGTTTCTGATTAACAGCTCCACAGAATTGTCTCTCTCTCTCACACATATACACACACACACACACACACAGAGCTTAAAGATTTCTGATTCACAACAGCTCCACAGAATTGTTTGGGAAATGAAGATATTTAAAGAGCTATGAAATAATCTATAAAACAACAAGACTTCAAAGGGAGCAAGAAAGGAAAAGGAGTGGAGAGAGAATGTGTGAGCAACAGGATAGAGAGGAGGTGAAAGGGGAGGGAGAGCGGGAAGGATGGGGGTTGGAGGAAGACACAGAGGGAGAGAGAGTTCTTTCTAAAACTGCCAAGGTACTGACTGTGAGAAAAAGCCTCAAGGTCAAAACAATCAAAACATTGACCTCACAAATGAAATTTTAAACTACCTGACAAGATCAAATGTTTTCATGGTCCAAATGGACTTCCACTCCTAAATGACTTCCAGTGATACAAAGAGAACACTGTAGGGGTGAACAGTGTCCTGAATTAAAGCACGAAGGCCGTCCACCACACCAGAGGGGCAAACGCAACAGCAAATGCTCACTTTCCCGGGAGAACGGCCTATGTTTAATGAGAAGAGTATGTGTCTGAAGATGGATGATGGAGTTTTGCCATCTCTTCCTTCTTCAAGGAGAGGAAAAAAAAACCATGTCACAGAAAGACACTGCTTGTAAAGCTTTCTGGGTCAAGTTAGCTCTGCTCTGGAAGCTTCCTCGCCTGGCTGTTTCCCGAACCCCAAACTCAAACCCCTTCCACATTTATTAAGCACCAGCCGTGAACAGGGTACTGTCATTGGGATGCACAGGTGAAAAAGTGAGAGAAAGTGTTGACAACAGAAACTGTGGCAATGAGACCAACATAATCATACTAATTAACAACTATTTTCTTGGTTTTTACTTCTTTTTTAAGCCAGGTTGAAATGCAGTGGCATGATCTCGGCTCACTGGAGCCTCTGCCTCCTGTGCTCAAGCCATCCTCCCACCTCAGCCTCCTGAGTAGCTGGGACTACAGGATGCGCCACCACACCTGGCTAATTTTTGTATTTTTTGTAGAGATGGGGTTTCACCATTTTGCCCAGGCTGGTCTCAAACTCCTGAGCTCAAGTGATCTGCCTGCCTTGCCCTAAAGTGCTGGGATTACAGGAGTGAGCCACCTCGAGGGGCCAACACTTATTTTCTAATCCTGTTACATATTTCGGTCTAAGAATCCACTTATCTCAATCATTTTGGGGAGAGATATTAAACATGGGGCTTGGGGGAAAGCCACCTGATGTCAGTTCTGACAGAGAAACCTTCCAGAAAGGGTCAGAGACTGCAGGGTCTTCTATCTTGTGACCACTAGTAAGGCATGGCCCGGCGCAGTGGCTTGTGCCTGTAATCTCAGAACTTTGAGAGGCCAGGGTGGGCGAATCACTTGAAGTCAGGAGTTCAAGACCAGCCTGCCCCACATGGTGAAATCCCGTCTCTACTAAAAAAAATACAAAAATTAGCTGGGCATGGTGGCACACACCTGTAATTCCAGCTACTCAGGAGGTTGAGGCAGGAGAATCACTTGAACCCGGGGGTCAGAGGCTGCAGTGAGCCAAGACTGTGCCAGTGCACTCTCACTCTAGCCTGGGCAACAGAGCAAGACTCTGTCTCAAAAAAAAAAAAAAAAAAAAAAAAAAAAAAAAAAAAAGTCATGGCCCTACTTACAGAACCCACAGGAGCTCCCAGGCTTTGTCTTTAAGCAGTTCATTTCCTTAGTCTTCCAGCAGTCCCACAGTGAAGTAAGTGTATCATGAAACAAGGTTCTCAGTGGGAATGCAAATTCTGCTCAGAGCAACTTGAAAGACCATTTTTTTTTTCTATTTATGTGTTTGTTACTGACTGGCCCAGAGAATGTGCCTATTATTATGCCTCATTAAAAAGAGAGCAGCTTTGTCCCCAGAACTTGGCTCCTCTCGCCTGCCCCGCCCAGTTCCACTCTAAAGAGGGGAGCTAAAATAAACAGTTATTTAAAGGTTGGGGCGTGCAGGGTTCCAAAGCAGATTTTTAGTTCTATCCTCAGAAGACTTGCCCCATGCAGAAAATATTGTCTGGGTGATTTCTCGATCATTTTGCAGTAATTAGAAATCAAATCCTACTGCATGTGAGAGCAGTTTATCCCCATAAAGTTCAAAATAATCATGTCAACTTCATGTAACACTTTATTTTGTAGCTATTAAAAGCCATGGAAGAGAATTTAACATGAAATGAATTCTTTTTTTTTTTTTAAAGACCTACAGAAAAGGAGAACTCAGATCCCCGTTAGTAAAGAATACTGTCCCCTTTTTGAGCAATACTCTTCAAGCACAGGCAACCAAAGTAAAAATGGACAAATGGGATCACATCAAGCTAAAAAGCTTCTGCACAGCAAAGGAAACAGTCACCAAAGTGAAGAGACAACCCACAGAGTGGGAGAAAATATTTGCAAACTACCATCTGACAAGGGATTAATAACCACAACATAAGGACCTCAAACAACTCTATAGGAAAAATCGAATAATCCAATTTTTTAAATGAGAAAAAGATTTGAATAGATGTTTCTCAAAAGACATACAAACGGGAAACAAGCATATGAAAAGGTGCTCAACACCACTGATCACCAGAGAAAGGCAAATCAAAACTGTAGTGAGATAATCATCATATCCCAGTTAAAACGGCTTTTAGCCAAAAGACAGGCAATGACTGACAAATATGCTGGTGAGGATGTGGAGAAAAAGGAAACCCTCGCACACACACTATTGGTGCAAATGTTAAATTAGTACAACTGCTATGGAGAACAGTTTGGGAGTTCCTCAAAAAACTAAATATAGAGCTACCGTATGATCCACCAATCCCACTACTGCATATATACCCAAAAGAAAGAAAATCAGGTATATCAAAGAGGTATCTGCACTCCTATGTCTGTTGGAGCTGTTCACAATAGCCAAATCTGGAAGCAACCTAAGTGTCCATCAACAGAGAAATGGATAAAGAAAATGTGGTGCATCTACACAATGGAGTACTATGCAGCCATAAGAAAGAATGGATTGTCATTTACAACAACGTGGGTGAAACTGGAGGTCATTATGTTAAGTGAAATAAGCCAAGCACAGAAAGGCAAACTTTGCATGTTCTTATTTGTGGGAGCTAAAAACAAAAACAGTTGAACCCATGGAGAGACAGAGAGTAGAAGGATGGTTACCAGAGGGTGAGAAGGGAGTGGGATTGGTCACTGCATACAAAATAAAAATAGAAAGAATGAATAAGATCTAGTATTTGACAAAACAACAGGGTGATGCTAGTCAATAATAATTTAATTGTACATTTTAACATAACTAAAAGAATATAACTGAATTGTTTGTAGCACAAAGAATAAATGCTTAAGGGAATGGATACCCCATTCTCTAGGATGTAATTATTATACATTGCCTGCCTGTATCAAAACATCTCATGTATTTCATAAATACATACACCTACTATGTACCCACACAATTTTTTTTGGAAAAGGAAAAAATATATACTGTCCTGGTTCCACTAGAGGAAGGGAAAAGCAGCAAGTACATGCACTAGGCTTCCTCCATCTAAGTCCTCTGGGGTTCATGGAACATCCATGTTTCTTTTTTTTTTTTAAGACAGGGTTTCACCATGTTGGTCAGGCTGGTCTTGAACTCCTGACCTCAGGTGATCCGCCTGCCTTGGCCTCCAAAGTGCTTGGATTACAGGTGTGAGCCACCACGTCTGGCCTTTTTTTTTTTTTTTTTTTTTTTTTTTTAAGATGGAGTCTTGCTCTGTCGCCCAGGCTGGAATACAGGGGTGTCATCTCAGCTAGCTGCAACCTCCATGTCCTGGGTTCAAACAATTCTCCAGCCTTAGCCTCCCGAGTAGCTGGGACTACAGGCACATGCCACCACGCTGGGCTAACTTTTGTATTTTCAGTAGAGATGGTGTTTCACTATGTTGGCCAGGCTGGTCTTGAACTCCCAGCGTCAAATGATCTGCCTGCCTTGGCTTCCCAAAGTGCTGGGATTATAGACGTGAGCCACCGTGCCTGGCTGGGACAGCCATATTTCTTTTCCATATCCCTCCCCGCCCCTCCTTTTTTTTTTTTTTGCTTTTATTTCCAATGTCTCAGCACAATCATTCCATATCCCACGTTCATGGCAAAATCCAAACCAGAAAAACCCCACTCAGGCCTTATTGACCCAACACCACAGTTCAAAGTATTTGAGACCCCTCTTTCTTGGGGCAGG